GAATGCCACAAATTCTCCTAAATCACTCGTACGCACAACTTAAGAACAAATCTGTGCGTACGAACGGTTCTTGCATGAGGCCCATTGACTAACAATAGGCTTGATTGGCTCTTATTGTTCATAGAGGGTCATTTGCTCCATCATCTGACCCGTGTCGTGTTGTGTGTATGTAGTGAGTGCAAGTGGGGTTCAACGTCCCCTTATTTTTGTCTCTCTTTCCCTCTTTGTGTTGGTATCATTGGGGCCCTGATTCACACCTTTTGCTCACAGGAGGCAGTCATACTTGCAATAACAGCATTGTAGAAGGAGGACAACTGGACACGAAGGCCTCCACCTCTGTTTAATGGTGGATGGTTTTTCTTCACAAAGATGGCTTCCTTTAATCCTCTCTCAAACCAACGTTCCTCTCTATCAAGGATGAGAACACCTTCATCCCTGAAGGAGTGACCACTGGCCTGTAAATGAGTGAAAACTGCAGAGTTCTGACCCGACAAAGTTGCTCGTCTGTGTTGGCTCATTCTTTTGAACAGTGGCTGCTTTGTTTCCCTGATGTATAACTGATCACAGTCCTCCTGACACTTAACATCATATACTATATTACTCTGTTTTTGCTGGGGAACTGGATCTTTGGGGTGAACTAATCTTTGTCGCAACGTGTTTTGGGGTTTGAAAGCCACTGGGACATCATGTTTAAATAAACTTCCCAGTTTCTCTGAAACTCCCGTCACATATGGAATGACGACTGGTTTGGGTCTGGGTTTAGGGTCTTCATTTTCACCTGGTTGTTGGCTGGAATCCTGTTTGGGTTTTTTGTCTGCTTTCAGAAAAGCCCAGTCAGGATAACCGCACTGCTCCAGGGCCTGTCGTGTGTGTGACTTCTTTTTCTCCCTGGTTCCTGTGTTTGTAGGGACACTGTCTGCTCTGTGGTACAGAGTTCTGATCACTCCTAACTTGTGTTCCAGTGGGTGATGGGAATCAAAATGCAAATACTGGTCTGTATGGCTGAGTTCACCTGAACTCCTCAGACTGAAGAAGTCTCTTGGAGGAGAGACGAAACTTTTCACCAAAGAAGAACCCATCCAGAAGACCTACTTATTTTTTCTTTTTAAATTTAGAAATGTTTTCTTTATTTGTTTACCCAGGCAGAACTTTGAGAAAAAATTCTTATTTACTTTATTTACCAATTTATTTCTAATTTAGAGTCCAAAACTGTTGAAATCACAAAAATATGGTTTTAAAGCAGGACTCTACAGCTGTGATCCTGAGCTACTGGTACAGAGGAATACAGACTGATGAACAAGGCTCAGTTTAATGATTAAATAAGACAATCACAATAAAAAAACAAACAAAAAAAAAAACAAAAAAACATCTTAACAGTGTAAAACAATCCAAAAGCAAGAACAATCAAACTGGTCAGTCTTTGCAAACAGCTCAAGTGAAACTATTTTATTGCATAAATATTGTCTGTAAAGTACTTTTGGGTCACTTTCCATGAATCGGACAAGTGAGAAATGTTTTCTCCACAATCGATAAACATTTTTCACACATTTGCTCCCTCTCCACCTCCCCCACAGAGATAAGTCCTGTTACAAAAATCGGACAGAAACCTCAAACTATACAAGAATCTAATGAAGCTGAAAAAGAACTGCTTTTTTTATTCTTTACCAAAGTCACTGTTAGCATCATTTGGCACTTATAGATGCTAATTCTGTGAGAACATTTGCAGACCCACACGCTTGGAGTCAGGGAAAGTGAGTGATGTCTGTGTTTGGGAACGTTACTTGCCTTAATAATAAATAAAGTGGGTCATATTTTAAAATCTGGATGAGCAAAAAGACTTTTCATATTAGCAGCAACATTAGTTTTGAGGGGGAAAACAAGGCTGCAATCAACTTCTAAAATCTCTAAAATAAGGTATCTTCCTTTCTCCTCTATGAATCATACACGGCTCAGTTTTAGAAAGAAGGTAGTACAAAATTTTTGTTGGAAGTTAAGACAATTTCTGTGATTATTTGTACATCTTCTGAACGTCAATAATGAATGGAAGAATGCATCATTATGTATTTATCTTGAAGGATGTAGAACTTTTACTGCATAAACAGAAGACTGCTGATTAAATGAATGTGTGAAGAGAGGATCCCAGTTCATACTTAACTAAAAAAAGTGTTCAAACATTTTAAACATGGAGTTCTGTGTAAAAGTAATAAATAGCTTACCTGCTGCAGATACTAGAGAGTTAAATTCTGGCAGGACTGACAGGCTAGTGTAAACGCAGCTAAAACCAAAGTGCTGCCGTCTTGAAACAACTGAAGTTTAAAAGGTTTCTGTGACTGTGTTCATTCGCCTGTTAGCAAAATATCTCCCGTACCAGTGGACAGATTTTAATGAAACTCTCCGAAAGTTATCACTGGATGAACAACTACAACTGATTACGCTTTTTGACCCATTTCAAGATAGCCACCACAGCTAAATGACATTAGCAAACAAAAAAAGGTTCATCCTCAGTCTGTGTAACTGGTTAAACAGATTTGGTGCGTCAGTAGCTGAGAGTCATTCCCCACACACACTGCAAACATCAACACATCACACAGCAGGTTTATGCAGGGTGACAGGAGATACCCATACCTTCAAGAAAGCCTTTCTTTTACAAATATTCAATGACTGCAAGTGCAAATAGTGGCAGCAGCAGCTAGCTGTACCACTTCAGCTGAAGAAGAAGAACCCCAGCTTGGCCTGTTAGCTTTAGCATTAGCGCTGACACTATATTGCCTTATATGCATTAGCTCAGCGTTAGAGCGACAAACAAGCTAAACTGTTGTCCTCCATCCATATTTTCAGTTACAGGCTGAGTCATTTCTACCTTCTCCTCTCTGTCAACGCTCTCTGGTTTCATTTAAAAGAGTCGATCATCAGATATTGTCCAAGATTAACCTTCAGGGTGGATATAGCTCGCTAGCAGCCTCGCACCGAGGACCTATCCACGTCATCATTTACCCAGAATGCTTTGTGTGTAAATAAAATGGCTCAGTCCGTGTAATATATTTTTAAACTTTTAGTTTAAAAATTGTAAAAACTAAACAGCCTTCAGTATTTTTATAGTCTTTTTTTACAGTTAAAATATATGTTTATYAAATAAAGTCTAATGTTATCGTGGACCCCTTTAAGGAAATTCTTATCCAAGTGAATTATTGCTTCAGGTAGCTGTTTTTGTTTGCAAATCAACCGAATTTCATAGAACTGATGCAAAACTGACAGCTATGTAAAGGTTATAAAACGACATTTGTAGAAACTACTTTAAAATCCACTTGGGTTAGCTCGTCAGTCCTGTCAGAATTATTTATCCACACGAAGCTCTTCTCAGAGCCATCGTCCACAGGTAGGATACATTTTTATAACCTTTCCACAAAACGCCACTTCAAAACATTCAAGCTACCCTCCTAATGCCCTACCTTAACTGTGTTTCAAAGCTGCCTGTTTCATCACCAATCTCTAAATTTATTACAGCTCATTAATATTTTAGCCAGCTAATAACTCAAAATTCTGTTTTTTTAAAAAAAGGGACAAAGAGTGGTTCTCTTCCAACAAGGCCCACAAACAGCATGTGATAGAATATACGTATATATTGAAATAAATTTATATATTAGCTAAGAATAGTATATACAAATAGAATATATAGTCTCTGACAGTGGTTGAAAAAGGAGCTAACAGAGTTAGGCCTGTTGTCTCCTCCTGTGTTACCCTTTCACAATAAAACTACTATCTGTACCAGACTCTGTTCCTCTCTGCTGTCCGGCCTGAATGCAAGTCTGACGCAGCTCGCCTGAGGAATGACAGGGTAAACAGAGATTACAGGTAGAGTAACGATGGGATAGTGTTATATACACACACGTATAGGAAGTGAAACATCTTGTGGGTTTCTCTTGAAGAACACCACCTGAAAGTATAAATGTAACCCTGTATATGAGTGAGTACAGAATCCCATGCTAAATGTGTTCTGAATCTATGAAATACACATAAAACCTGAGTCATTTCGTCAAACACAGGCAGAGAGAAGCCACATAAGACTGAGAATGTTGTGAACGGATGTCTGTACAGGGGAAGACTGGCAGGGAGCAGGGTAGCGGAGCTCTTTAAAAAACATGAAAAAAAGGGACGAAGAGAAAGTTTAAAAAAAATCACAGATGTCGTGGACGCTGCGTAGCTCCGGCGTGCACTGCGTCACATGGTTCTGCTGTACTGGATGCCGGTCTTGGAGGCGATGTTGGACCAGGGCAGCAGAGAGCGTAGCAGGGACTGGGCCTGGCGGTACAGCCTCTGAGGGATGGAGCAGGGGCTCAGGCTGGCCAGAGTGGAACCGATGTGCTGGATATAGTCAGTGGAGGAGCAAGTTAAGGAATAGGTCAACTTTTACAGGCATTTATTCTTTAAATGACCAGACAGTAACATTAATGCAATTTTAAAGGAATATTTCAGACATTCTGAGAGGGGTTTTGTGTTAAAGCTAAGAGAAATGAACATCTTACCTGTTGTGGATGGCTTTTTGAAAAACCTCAGTTTGGAGAAATGGAAGTTTAATTCTTACCAGAATGATGAGTTAACTAGTCTGTAAGCAAGTGATAAAAACGTGGAATGCTGCCGATCTAAAACAACTCAAATATTTCTTAAACTAAGGCATTTCTATGGGATAAATCTTGTGCCAGCAGGAATTGATTTTGAATTGCTCAGATTGAATCTGTATGTGCATAATTTGAAATTGAATGCATTGGTTTGATAATGAATTTTACTAAATTGAAACTGAATTTAAAGTTATGAATTTGAATTAAGTTGCTTTGAAACTGTATTTTGGTTTATTAAAAATTCAGTATGACTACTTTCACTTTCAGCTCCATAATTCAGATTTTTGTGTCACACATCCATGCTATCACCACATATACAATATGTATCAGCTCAGAGCTACACATTCTCCTCTTGTCACTGAAGTTCTCCATCCACATGACAGAGAGGGGAACACAAAAATGACTCAGCTGCAACTGAAAATATGGATGGAGGACCTCAGTTTAGCTTGTTTGTCGCACTAGCACCGACCTAATACATATAAGGCAGGGGTGCAACGATACAGGAAATTCACGGTTCGGTTCGATACTTTAGTCTCACGGTTCGATATTTTTTCAATACAAAAAGAGAAATTTCCATGCCCCTTTTAACTTGTAACTTATTTATATTAATTTCGAACATTTGTTTAACCTCAAAAGTACAGTTTTTTAATTAAATGTTGCTGAAACAGCAAGTTTCTCAGTGGACCTGCTCTCAAAAATGCAGCCTAGGTGGAGTAGTCGAACACAGATCCACTGATCCTTTAACACAGAGCATCTTCAGAAGACAAGTTGATAAAGTAAATTTTTAAAATTTGTATTGTTCGATACAGCACTGTTCGATACGGGTACATGTATTGTTGCACCCCTAATATAAGGCACTATAGAGTTGGCGCTAGCGCAAAGGTTAAAAGGCTAAACTGAGGTCCTCCATCCATATTTTCAGTTGCAGACTGAGTCATTTTTGTGTTCCCCTCTCTGTCATGTGGATGGAGGACCTCAGTGACGAGAGGAGGATGTGTAGCGCTGAGCTAATACATATACTGTATATGGTGATAGTGTCGGGGCTAATGCTAAAGCTAACAGGCTAAGCTGAGGTTCTTCTTCCATGAAGCAGCTCTGTTGTCCTCCATCTATATTTTCAGTTACAGACTGAGTCATTTCTACCTCCTCCTCTCTGTCAACGCTCTCTGGTTTCATTTAAAAGAGTCGATCATCAGATATTGTCCAAGATTAACCTTCAGGGTGGATATAGCTCGCTAGCAACCTCGCACTGATGACCTATCTACGTCATCATTTACCCAGAATGCTTTGTGTGTAAATAAAATGGCTCCATCTGTGTTAAAATTTACAAAAGTAAACAGCCTACAGTATTTTTACAGTCTTTATTTAACAGTTAAAATATGTTTTTATTAAATAAAGTCTAATGTTACAACTAATCGTGGATCCCTTTAAAATGTTTTGATAGATGATCTCAGGTCACTTCATCACTGATCCCCACAGTAACTGGTGACTGATAGATGGAGAATCTTAACAACAGCTAACTGCTGATGTCTGCTGAATGTTACAAAATGTGACTCATTTTCATTTTTCGCACATTTGTCGATGACGTTGGTGCTTCACCGAAAATGTTCTTCCGAAGGTGCGAAAAGCAGAAGAAGCAGAGCAAAACAAATTTTTATGTAAATAACGACGTAATGAGAAATAGATGCTGCTRTAAAGGTTTATAAAGAAGCAGTGGCATGAACTGCTATATAAGTTTGGAGATTGGAGTTGTTTAAAGACAGCAGCAATCCTCTTTGGTATTTGCCTGTTTAGCCTAGTCGTTTAATCTGAACGCAACTCTGGTTCTCCAAACTTCAAACAGACTTTGTTTGAAGAGCCATCTTCATCAGGTAAAATATGAACTGTTTGCAACTTTTACACAAACACTTCAAAATATCCAAAATATTCTTTAGCACTGTAAACGGAATCTACTGTGGCGAGGATCAACTGTCAGACAACACAAAGTGAGCGAGCGACCGGTTTCTCTGCTTTCACAAAAGGATATAATATTGTCCAAGGTGGATGACCTCCGTTAATGTAGAGCACATATGTGAAGCCGTCTTTGAGGACGCCGCGGATGGAGTAGTAGTAGGGCAGGTAGTGGTGCTGCCGGAAGTCCCTGTTCTCGTAGAAGTGGATGGCAGTGGTGTTGGTGGTGAGGACGTGCAGGTAGATGGCCTTACAGTGGTCCTGGGCTGTGGTTGAGATGTGCTCCTTCAGACTGTCCAGCAGCAGGGAGCCTGGACGGTGGGAAGGGGAGAAACAGAATAGAAAGAGTGCTCAGTCAGTGAGATGGAGAAAGAAAAGCAAGGAGTTGTCCTTCGAATGACACCGGTCATGTCAAACATTTCCTTATCTTTGTGCATCTACAAGTAAAGGGAAGAACGTACACAACAAACCAAAAATGGCTTTTCTAACACTTTAAATGTGCCGATGGACAAGCACTGAAGCATTATTACTATCATCATAAGCTACGCTCACACTGCAGGTCTTAATGCTCAGTTCCGATTTTTTGAAAAAATCCGATCTTTTTGTGTGAACGTTCACATTACATTTTAAATGTGACCTGCATCAGACCCCTGTGTGAACGCTACACAGCACTGATGTGACACGCATGTGCAGTAAAAGACGTGACGTCTCATCAGCCGGCTTGTTTGTTTACAGAGCTAGCATGGATGCTACATTTTGCACATCAAATCGGAAGTTGTTGTTTAATCAGAGCCAATTAAATAATTATCTGACATGCTTCTTTAGTTCAGTGTTTATATCTGAAGCTGCCTCTGACCGGGATGCTCCAGTGAAGGGTTTTTTTTTTGAACGAAACTACGAGCTGGAAAAAAGTATCGACCGAGTATCGAACTTTAGGATCGATACTCTCCGCGACCCAGGCTGGACATGTTATTATCAAACTATCTACATGGAAAATGAAAAGTAAAAAGATGAAGCAACTGGACTTGTGTTTTGGAGCTGTAAACACATGGAGCTACAGATTTAAACAGCGAGACTTGAGGTTAGTGTCTTATCGATCCTTCACCTCCTCCTCCTGATGAAAAAGTCAGATGAATGTGACATGAGCGTTCACACTGCAGTCACTTTGAAAACATCAGATATATATCCGATTTAAAACCACATACTGAAACGGCCTGGGTCGGATTTGAAAAAATCGGATTTGTCGCGTTCAGACTGTCATAAAAAAATCGGATATGAGTCAGATGGGTCAAAAAAATCGGATTTGGGTCGGATTTGCCTGCAGTGTGAACGTAGCCTTAGATAGTTTTGATCTGCTACTCCTCCTAGTATTAGAGAAAGCACACAAAAAAACAACAACAACACAAAAGCATGCATCTTGATCAGGAATAATGTGCCCTTATATTAGTGGTACATCATATGATATGAACAAAATACAAAATTTGTTAGTAAATAAATAAACAATAAAACAATTTCCACATAGACAATAACAGGATTATTATTATTATTATCTTCAGAAGTTCCTGTTATTCATTTGGTTGACATAAACAAATAAATAAATAAATAAATAAATAAATAAATAAATAAATAAATAAATAAATAAGTTACAATAGCAAACAACATCTTGACTACTTTGACTTGAACCTGTATCCTCATTTTGCAGGTAAACTCAATGGTTCTGCTGAATGTTGCGAGCAGGGGTCGCTGCAGTACATGGCGGGGTTTCTTGTTGTGTGGGCGGAGTTTGTCCTAAATGTGATTGGTCAGATTGACTTGTTGTGTGGAGAAGCAATGGTAACATGTGAATATGGACGGACAGCCTTGGACACTCATAGACTCCGTCATTGGTATATTTTTATTTATAAGGCCTTAATAGGACTTCTTCCATTATATATGTTGGTCTACATAAATAGAAAGTCCACTGGAGGATACTCTCTTCGTTGTGAGAATTTATCTTTGCTTTCGGTGCCTAAAGTCTGAACTGAACTTGGAAAGAAATCTTTACAGTTTTCTGCTCCATCTTCTTGGAATCAGTTGCAGAGACACTTGAACCTAAATGGGCTGTTGTCTCTAAAGGTTTTTAAGGCTGTTCTTACTGATTTTGGGAAATAATCATCTGTTTGTAAATGTTTTAACTGAAGAATCTTTTATTTTTTCTATCTATGATGATGCTGTTTCTATTTTTGCTGTGAATGTTTTGTAACCTCTGTGTACTGCTGCCAGTCTTGGCCAGGATCCCTTTGCAAAAGAAACTCTCAGTAGGATTTTCCTGGTGAAATAAAGGTTTAATAATGATATGATTTATTGACTGTTTATGTACAGCTTAAAACAGAAAAGTGTCTAAATAAATTGAACAGGTAAACATAATTTAGTGACTTCAAATACGCGACAATCACTTTATTATTAATTTATATTGATATAAAGTGATCTTTTTACAGGCTGGTTAGGGCTGTTTTGACTGAGCCAAACTGTTACACGTCTCACCACATGTACAGTGTTCAAACTTTGTGCAGCTAGCACCTTCTTGCCTCATTAATTATTATTTACATTTAAAAATATAGGTGCTTTCTGGCCATTTTGACCAAGCTGCTCCTAGCTGCCCCCAGCTTCTTCAGACCCCAGCCAACACAGTCAATCCAACCAATCACATCTTTAACAACAAACTACGCCCACAGAGGTCAAACAGACCCATCGTGTCTTGGACAAACTCCTCCCACAAAACAAAACAAAACAAAAMAAAACCTCCCACTTAGTGACTGCAGAGACCCCCTTCTCGAATGGTGGGGTATAAAAAAGAAATGCTATTTTTCTGATTTTCTGACCAGGTTTTACCTATGCCATGTTTCCTGAACTCTTTGACCACGCCCAGGCTGAGGATGTAGGCCACCTGTGTGTCCACAGGAAAACTGGAGGCCAGGATGTCTCCATCCTAACACACATTCAAACACAGAAAGAAAAAGGGGGGATGAAGATGCAGAATCCCAGTGAACATTCAAAAAATAAAAAAATTGGTTTAGTTTTCATCTCCTTTTGTTGTAAATTGGGATCAATCTGAACATGTTCAGACCATCGAGATCTTTGTCTAAACAAATCAAACAGTGAAGGCAAATGAGAAAACGCAAATCCTGTTCAGAAGGGAAATTACTGAGTCAATTGTTTGTGAAAACTCCAGCCTGATGTGAGAGGATCAGATTTCAGGTAATCCTCTAGAGGAATACATTTGATGTTGACATTTTGTATAAAAGTACATCTACTGATAAAACTATTATATCAATAGTGTAAAATCTGACTTATGAATGTTTTAGGTTTTAGAATTGTTGAACATATTTAAACTCAAAACAAGTTTTGGAAGTTTGTTTGAATAAAGTAAAATAAACATTTTCTTCAGTTGTATATTTACTGCTCTACTTTCATCCTTTTTTAAATCCCATTTTCAATCTCTCTCAGCCAGGAGCATCTGATTTGTCTCCTTAGCACACTAAAAACAGACGTCAATAAGTAAGCGAGCCAAGTCTGCTGGTTCTACATGAGAACATGAAACGAGTCATTTCTGCCTTGTGTTTGACACAGCAGAAACTGACCTCTTTGTGTACTTTGGTCCGGCTTTTGATCTCGGCCACAATCATTCCCACGATGCTCCCTCTGAAGGTGGCAGCGAGGGAGAAGAACTTCTTGTTGGAGGTGATGTCTTGATACCATGAGTCCGGGTACCTGGAGTCAAACATGAGACAAGAGAGCAGTCACTCCCAAGAAACATAACACAACTGTAGGCTTTCTTACAACAGGAGTCATTTGAGGTTAGACTGAAAATAAAAAAAAACAAACAGACACACACAGCTGCTGTGGAAAATAAGGAAAGGTTAAAACAATATATATTTCATCAAATCCCTAATGTTGAAATTAGGAGTTTACTGGTGCATATAATTACAGTTCAGCATAACAGCGATCATATAATCACCTCAAAGCAATCATTTGCTTGCAAATCAACAAAAGATGAACTTTTTGAGTTCGCACTATTTAAAATGGCCACCACAGATCATCAAACTTTGCCTAAACACAAATGGCTATAAGTCAGTCCAGATTTATCACTCAATATTCTGAGGTAAAATTTGGTGTGGTAGTAGCTGAGGGTCACTCTCAGCATACAGTCTTAGTACTAACAACTCACTGAATGTGTTGTTTCAAACTTTGAATGCAAAAGCAGTTTGTGTTGGGCAATAAATGCTTGTGTCATTGTACTATAAAATTTGTTTGAAAACGTTTACATTGCTAGTCTTATTGCTCCAATTTGAACTGTAAATTAGGGGTGTAAGAAAATATCGATACACTGAAATATCGCGATATTTCATTTCCCGATACTGTATCGATATTCTAAAGCCCTGTATCAATTTTTTATTAAGGTTTAAAATGTCAACTTTCCTGCCAGACGTTCATTTTTATGTTGTAGTTCAGCCTCTGACCACTAGTTGGCAACAGTGAGCCAGCCTTTTGGCTCCTCTACCTCTTGAGGTAGAGGCTATTGTTAAGTGTTGGGTGACCAAATTGTAAATTAATATTAAAAACTAAAAGCTGCAAAAAATATATTTTCAAACTATTTATTGGCAAATTTAGTATAATAATTGAAAACATGGATGAAATAAGAAACATGAAACAAATAAAATAAAATACATACAAAGCAGAACACAGCTAAATGTATCAAAAGTATGTCTGTAATATTAGAATTTCTGAGACAATAAATTTTAGTTTTTCATTTTTTTCCCCTGTAAGAGGTTTTTATTTAATAGAATTTTTGGACAAAAAAATCACAATATATCGCCTTGCTTACAGTATCGCAATATATCGTATCGTGACCCCTGTCATGATATGTATCGTATCGCCAAATTCTTGCCAATACACAGCCCTACTGTAAATATCATCATACAGTGCATGTGTCAAACAAAAGGTTTAGCTCCAAAACCAACAGCTATTTTTTTTGTTTTTGTTTTGGTTGTTAATAGTACAAAAACAAGTGTTTGTTTCAGTAATTTGACACAAAMTTGATACAAAATAAAAGACCACACGGAACTGAATAACATCTCCAAATGTGAAAATACAAAACAGATCAAACGTTAAACACACGCATGGCTCTTCTCAGCTAACTGAGTGCTAGTCATCTATTCATGCATGGGTGGCTCTTATTCAACACCTGGTGACGTATTTGACATTTAAGATACTAGAGGGTGTTTTAAAAGTGCACAAATTATGACCCTTTTGGTTTTCCACCTTTCCCCTTCACTGACCTCATCCTCGATCAAATGAAATTCTAAACTTTTCCATGCAGCTGATTAAAAACAAACAGGCAGTTTTTAAAGTGTTGTAAATAGTATCACCTTCTGCACCATTTTTGTTTTGGTTATTAGTAACAAGCAAAAATAAATAAATAAATAAAAAATGCTGGTATATCCTGTGACACATACAGTATATTTTTTGTCTGATTCAAGTAGTGGACCCGGACTTCTGTACCGTAATGGTCCAGTATAAATAAATATACTCCTACACCCTGGTTAATACACTTCAATTTATGCATTTCAAGCCACTCCAAAAGAAAGTTGCAATAATGAATCCTTTATGACTTTGTGATGTTGCAAATCCTTTTAAAATGCTGAAAAAAATCTGACTCTAACAACAGAAAATGCTTACATTATAACCTTAAATGCAAAAATGGATACATATAAAAAATGTAACAAGACAAAAGATCCAATATTTTGACTGTTTGTAAGGTAAAGCCAAAGTAAATATCAGAATCGAAGCTTTGCTTGTATTGCTATTCCTCATACTCCAGGTTGTTCCCTTTCAGTCANGTGGTGCTCGAGGCTGTCTCTGTGACCCCCCTTTTGAGCCCTTGGAGTCTGTGGATTTGAAGTTCCTTTCATATAAAGTTGTGTTGCTTTTAGCACTAACAACTGTTAAACGGGTTGGGGATCTCCATGCTCTGTCTGTAAATCCCTCCTGTATTCAGTTTTCACTNCTATGGCTCTGGCGGAGCTCGGAGCTCAGGTACCGGCCGAGAGTCCCTTGCTGCCTCTCCTTAACGAGATCCGACTCACCGCGGACTACATCCTCTGTGCGTCCCGCAGCGTAGCGCTCTCCCTGGGCAGAGGTATGGCTTCAACCGTGGTGGCGCAGAGACATATGTGGTTGACACTCT